GGTGGAAATGCTGCCAGTTTAGAAACACAGTAATAAGAAGGCAAACACACAAAGGACAAAAAGGTTTAGACAAATGGGACCGAGTAAGGCCTCAGTCACATGCACAAGTAACAGGCCTCATCCCCCCTCTCAAAGACCTTACTCTACGTGATTTCAGCTGTAGGCAGCCGCCTTAGGAAAGATCAGTTTAAGTAAAGAAGAGGAACCTTTTGCCACAGCTCTTTTTTTTTTAAAAGGCAAACTGCAAAAATTTTTGTAAAGAGATAGAAAAAAATGTATCTCAAATTACTCTGGGGATGTGTGGACTTAACCGTTAGAGTACACGGATGTGTTAAACCCAGATATTTTCAAGTCACTTCCCCGAGTCTATCAGGAAACATAGGAGCTTCCCCCCCTTTTTCTAGAGCAGAGATCATCTGTCAAGATTAGGCGGGCATAGCCCACACAGCCCAGTGCCTGCAACCATGGATGCAGGTGGATCTCTGTGCGGCTCAGCTTCAATCCTCTGTACAAAGCTAAATAAATACATTGCACTGTACGGAACAGAAGGCAGCATGGCCTCTGCCCTAATGTGGTTAAGAGACGAGACCAAGTCCTGTGTTCAAAGTTCAATGTTTCATCCACAGCAGCTGATCATCACACAACTGCTTAAAATATCCACTACAGACGGTGGTACCTATGAAAGACTGCCAAAAACCCCACAGCAGCAAGGCTCAGAGCCCGGGTCAACTGACTTGGGCTCGCAGGGCTCAAAACAGTGGTGTAGATATTCCCACTCAGGCTGGAGCCCAGGCTCTGAGACCCATCCCCCAAGCCAGGTTTCAGAGTGCAAGCAGGAACATCTACACTGCTATTTTTAGCCCCGGAGCCTGAGTCATTGATCTGGGGTCTGAGACTCACTCCCGCAGGGTTGCATGTGTTTTTTGGTTTGGTTTGGGGATTGGTTTTTTGCCGTATAGATGTACCCTTAATGAGTTAGGGTCTTTGGTACAGTAATGACTCTGTGGTCTTATGCAATGAGCTGTGAAAGCACTCCTAACGAACACCCAGCAAATGGAACAGCAAGTTAACGAGACAAAATCCCAGCACGCCTCAGTTCCATTCCCATCAAAGATCTCAATTGGGGGGGAACAGGAGTGTTTCTTCCCCACTTTTCTGCCTTCCTGGTTCTTAATTCCATGAATGAAGACAAACTGTCCTGCCTTGCTCCGCTGGAGAAGTAGCTGTAAATCTGGCCCAACAGTTCATGCGAGGAGCAAGCAGGAGCTGAAGTTACTGTGGCTGCAGCATGCTCAGTTCAGCACAAGGCTTGATGAAGCTCAATAGCGACCCCTGACAGTAGATTAAGGCTAAAACGTGGATTAGCTCAAAAAATCCGCTCCCATGGTGCTCGGGCCACACACGGACTTTGGACAGAGATTTCTGGACAATGACGTCTGGCTAGATTTCATGGAAGAAAGATTAATAATTAGAGATTGACTTATGGGGATCTTTAGTGACGTTTATCTGAGGTGTCCACACCTCAAGTGATGTGTTGGGAAGAGAGGCAAAGGAAATGAAGGACTAACTCTTAAAAGCAAGGAAGTTCCAAGGTTAAAGACATGGTAGCTACAACATGCGGTGCTTTGTTCAGCAGTCTGCCTGGTGGGTAAAACCTACAGCACCACATCT